ACAATGGTTGTACTCTTCAAGTCACTTGTGTTGTCCCGTCTCGAGTACTGCTAGTACTCACTTTCCCCTACAGAGCAGGAGAGATTGCTGAAATAGAGGGAATACAGAGAACATATACGGCACGCATAGACGCAATAAAGCACCTAAATTATTGGGATCGTCTCAAAGCTCTCCAAATGTACTCAACTAGAAAGGATACGAGAGAGATACCAAATAATATACGCGTGGAAAGTACTGGAGGGACAGGTCCCAAATCTACACAGTAAAATATCAACATACTGGAGTGAACGATATAGAAGAAAATACGAAATAGAACCAGTGAAGAGCAGGGGTGCCATAGGCTCAATCAGATTCTTTTTTTGTTTAATTAACACATTTAGGTACATCTGCATTTGGGGAGCTACCCTAGACTATATGTACAGTGTGTCAAAAAGCTAGCTACGTGATGCTAAAATCCCTATCACACAGGATGGTTAGTCATACAAAGACATGTGATAAGTAGTCTGCACTGCCACACACACACTGGATGCATTATGAGGATATCATCAACACAAGAGTGAATAAGATAGCAGTGGTACTAAAAGTCCCCATCTCGCAGGATGGTTAGTCATATAGGGTCATATGTTCAGTAGCGTGCACTGGCAAATTTTGGGTGCATTATGAGAATATCTTCAAGAACACGAGAGTGAATAAAGTAATTGCAAAGCTCCAGGTACACATGCCAAAGGGTCTGAATGGTCTGATAACTGGGCATTCGGTGATGTAGTGTGCAAGGGCATGCCCCAGTGCCTCAGTCAGAGAACACTGTATAAACATCAGAGGTTCACGGATGTTTAACATCCTTCCAGCGAGTATAAGAAATATTGCCGGAAGAACCGTGAATATCTTCAAGAGAAAACTAGATAGTGTTCTTAAAGGAGTGCCGGACCAACCGGGCCGAGGTGGGCCTGCGGGCCGCTGGAAGCAACAGCCTAGTGGACCAAACTGTCACAAGTCAAGCCTGGCCTCGGGCCGTGCTTGACAGAGTCCGTACAGAGAACAGTCTAAACATCAGGAGTCCACGGTTGTTCAGTACTCTCCTAGCAAGCATAAGGAATATTGCCGTAACAAGGATGTCTTCAGTAGGCAATGAGATAAGTTCCTAGAAGGAGTGCCGGACCAACTGGGTTGTAGTAGATATGTGGGCCTGCGGGCCGCTCCCAGCAACAGCCTGTTGGACCAAGTTACCGGCCGGGCTCGGCGAGTAGAACTCTCAGAACCCACTTCAGGTAAACTCCGGTTAATTCTAATAATATTTCCCAGGAATTAAACATTGTTGACAAACCTATAGATACAGTAAGTCACTATGATATAACAACGGTGCGGTGTTTAAAAAAAAATACACACAAAAATAAATTACAAAATTAATTAAATAATTAACCTTCCCGCCAGATGCACTATAACTTTGCTAATCAAAGCGTGCGGCTATCATACATTAAGTTAAACATTTAATAGTGTTGTGTTATGTAAACACGAGTTAATATCACTTGTTGTTTAAGATTCACTAGGAACAAAGTTCCAAGTAGCACGGGCTATGGTGAGCCCGTAGTAATATCACTATTCTTGGTGCACTTGAGTGGGGGAAGTGGTGCCTCTGGCAGTCATGGGTCACCCCTAGCAACAAAGGGGCTTGTTGTTGTTGTTGTTGTTTAAGATTCAGCTACTGGGAACAAAACGTTCCAAGTAGCACGGGTTATGGTGAGCCCGTAGAACAAAGGGGCATCCTGAACAACGTATTGTACCTAACGCTATCCTCTTTCCTCCTCTATTTATCTACCCTCGTGTTTTAAATTGTTATTGGTTTGTTTTAAAATATTAGCATTCGGGAGAATGCAATATATTCAGGATATATATATATATATATATATATATATATATATATATATATATATATATATATATATATATATATATATATATATGCCTATACTTGCATAAACCACAAGTGAAGATTAACAATCTTTGGACAACACCCACCAGTGGGTCTCGAACCCAGAAAGCACAACTACCTTCCAGTAGCTGGCATAACTAGTATGCTTTAACCCACTACGCCATCAGACCTTACAAAAGAAGTAGATAGTTCGAGATATATATCTCAAACATCTCCACCTCCCGAAGGCACCAGATGAGTGAGGGGTCAGTCTGCATTTTTCGAAAAATGCAGACTGACCCCTCACTCATCTGGTGCCTTCGGGAGGTGGAGATGTTTGAGATATATATCTCGAACTATCTACTTCTTTTGTAAGGTCTGATGGCGTAGTGGGTTAAAGCATACTAGTTATGCCAGCTACTGGAAGGTAGTTGTGCTTTCTGGGTTCGAGACCCACTGGTGGGTGTTGTCCAAAGATTGTTAAAATATATATATATATATATATATATATATATATATATATATATATATATATATATATATATATATATATATATATATATATATATATATATATATATATGTCGTACCTAGTAGCCAGAACGCACTTCTATGCCTACTATGCAAGGCCCGATTTGCCTAATAAGCCAAGTTTTCATGAATTAATGTTTTTTCGACTATCTAACCTACCTAACCTAACCTAACCTAACTTTTTCGGCTACCTATCCTAACCTAACCTATAAAGATAGGTTAGGTTAGGTTAGGTAGGGTTGGTTAGGTTCGGTCATATATCTACGTTAATTTTAACTCCAATAAAAAAAAATTACCTTATACATAATGAAATGGGTAGCTTTATCATTTCATAAGAAAAAAATTAGAGAAAATATATTAATTCAGGAAAACTTGGCTTATTAGACAAATCGGGCCTTGCATAGTAGGCTGAGAAGTGCGTTCTGGCTACTAGGTACGACATATATATATATATATATATATATATATATATATATATATATATATATATATATATATATATATACAGATATATATGATATATATATATATATCATTCTGTATATATATATATACAGAATGAGATATATTCAGCATTCAGGAGAATGCAACCAGGTAATATAATGTGTCTTCAAGCATTGTGAGTTCGACTATGAGAGCTGATGTGGATGAATGAATGAAACAACTATATAATGCCCATTCAAAATAATTGTAAATATACCTCAAGAGATGGTATTATGATACACAGTATGGAAGATGGTAGTAATACAGCGGGGGAGAACACTATGTAGACCGCGATAACTAAACTAGGCTATAACTGGCCTGTATGTCTTTATATTGAGGCTGGGAATGCCAGTGAACTCTGAGCCACGCGGCAACATCTCTGTTTTGAGCTGCGCTCCATTTGCCCGTTTGGGATCCAAGACTCGTTTACATATCGGAAGTGTTCACGGAATAAATAGAAACGAAGTCATAACTATTGTTTCTGGGTCATATCGTTCTGGAAATAAATGAAATGTGTGTGTGGCGGAGTGAGTTGGCAACGTGGGAGAGGGTTGGTGGTAGGCGCGGTAACTCTCCCGCCCACTCGCTGCCAATGTCAGTTTCCCGATTATTTAATTTCCCGATTATTTCATTTCCCGATTAGTCATTTGTACAATTATTCCTGTCAAAGCCGAGTAAGAGACGACGTCCATGTTGGCTTTATTGTTGTTGTGCTGGCTATCACTTATTAGGAATTCATAATTCAGATTCTTTGTTCAGTTCAAGCTGGATTGTATAACAATACAACTTTAAGCTGATAGCCGAAGACGGAATGACAGTCGCCGAAATCAAGTGTGCTGTGAAAATGCTAATCAATCAGTAATGGGGGGATCAAATTCCTGTGGATTCCCTTTCGTGGTGGAATTGTGGAAATGAAGGTACTAATGCGGAGGCTGCTCAGGGTTTTAATTTTAATTTTGCCCCGAGGGGCGAGTTTATTGGGCAGCGCCACTCATCTTGTGAGTGGACACACCGCCATAGCAGCATGTACAACACTCCCCAAAAGGAACAAAACCCGCTGGGTTGTTCAAGTCACTTCTACAAATCAGAGGCATCAACAACGCCCTGACAATGTAGGCCTAGCCTAACTGAACAAAAAGTAGAAAAACAAGTTGATGAATCTGTACGCTGGTACAATGACAGTTGTACAACTAGGTGAGTAATGGAGTATAATAAATCCCACACTGCTAGAGTTAGAAAAACACTGCTATAAAAATATAAATATTGTAGTTGGTTAGATTCCCCACCACACTTTGCGCCCGCAAGATGACAGAAACCTGAGAGTTAGTAAATGTTAATCATTTTTGACGACCTCTTGACGGTTAAGGGAGTCCCAGCTATGTACAAGTGACACTGAACAATCCAGTGGGTTTTCTTCCCCTTTTTGTTCACTCACAGGGTGACTTACGCCCTTCTAAAAACTACTCTTTCAGGGCAAAATACAAAAAAATAGTGAAATAACATTTAAATATGTTTGCATTTACGAGAGACTAAACGAAAGCAAATAATTGAATAATAATAGGTCAGTCGTTGGAATGTTTGATTGGCCCATTTAAAGAAAGGAAGGACTATTGGGTTACGTTGGCCGAGATTCAGTTCTCGGGTCCCAACCTAATAGTCTCACGACAGGTGTAGTTCGTCCTTTGGGGTCCATCTTAAGTTTTTGAACCATGTAGGCCTATAACAAGGTTGTTGATTTGTGGAACCAATTACCGCGTAACGTGGTGGAGGTTGGGTCCCTCGATTGTTTCATGCGTGGGTTGGACATGTTTATGAGTGGGATTGGGTGGTCATAGATAGGAGCTGCCTCGTATGGGCCAATAGGCCTTCTGCAGTTACCGCGTTCTTAGGGGGGTAGAAATAGCCTAAGCTACTCTATCTCTTTGAGATGTATTTATTGCTTATCTCAATAAACATACTTGAACTTGTACCGCGTTCTTATGTTCTTATATATGTATAACCCCTCCCCCCTCCACCACATTATTTTCTCAAGGTAAATATTACTCCAGAGTTCTACATTTTTATTTGTGTTGTGCAGGGTCGGTGCTGAGCGAGTATGTGAGCCAGTACGAGGTCCTGCGGTATGACTCCCAGCTGGTCCACCGCAGCCATCAACGGGTTAAGAGGGCGCTATACGGCGACCAACAGGTAATTACAATCTCTTGCTTTCACACACACACAAATCACAATAGCATGATGCATCAAATGAACAAATGAACAAGGGGCCGTGATGAGGGTTCGAACCTACGTCCGAGAGGGGTTCCAGACGCGACTCGGTCGACTGTGCCTTTCGGTCTCTCCTCTCTATGATCCTCTAGAACGTAGGTTCGAAACCTCATCGCGGCCCTTGTGGATTTGTTCATTATAATCTCTTGATTTATGTAGATTGTGGTTTTAGTCATTACCAAGAAAGACCATTAAGACCAAGTGTATTAATTGAATACACAACGGTACAATATGACTTGAGATGTTTTGGAATGATGTGGGAAGATTATTATGAGGACAGCGTAAAGCCAGTGTAGTTATAGCACTTGTAAAAGATGTGGGGCGACAGGATAGGAGTTGGGGTATGAGGATGGAGGGAGGGAACGGTGACCAATCACTTGCAACTTGGGGGATCGAACGCCGATCCTGCAAAATGCGAGGCCGTCGCTGTGCCAACCATTCCAAGTAGATAGACCAGCAAGTGGGAGTACAGCATACATGCTGAGGTAAGTTGCCAGATAAAAAAAAATGCAGTTGTAAAAGATCTGCTTAGATACTGCTAGTGGAAGTATGCGTATCATAGCATCAGTAACGTGTAGAGTAATTTGTGGCTGTAATTTTAGTACTAGTAAACAAAAAATCACCAGTTCAAGTATGTTTGAGATAAGCAAGAAATACATCTCAAAGGGATAGAGTAGCTTAGGCTATTTCTGGGCCCCCCCCCCCCCCCGATTCACCAGTTTTGTAGTGTGTGGTAAGTTTGGGGGGAGCCGGTCGGCCGAGCAGACAGCACGCTGGACTTGTGATCCTGTGGTCCTGGGTTCGATCCCAGGCGCCGGCGAGAAATAATGGGCAGAGTTTCTTTCACCCTATGCCCCTGTTACCTAGCAGTAAAATAGGTACCTGGGTGTTAGTCAGCTGTCACGGGCTGCTTCCTTGGGGTGGAGGCCTGGTCGGGCCGCGGGGACACTAAAAAGCCCCGAAATCATCTCAAGATAACCTCAAGATCATCTCAAGATTCATCAATATCAGCTTACGGAAGAACCGATCACGTTGACCGTTGACATTTTAATTAGCTTCCCGACCACCAGGTCATTGACCATATTTTATTGTCTTAAGCACATAACATAATTTTTCTCTCTTACATTATCATTCACAAGAACCGTAGGAGCCTATTAATTCCCTTCAATTTCTCCTCTTGCTCAATCTTCCGCAGATTTTTAGCCAATATTTTTACTTTACTTTTTATTAATTGGTTAGAAGTTTTGAATATTGTTACTGGTAAAATGCTTAGCTTACACGAAGCCTCCATCACGCGGCACGCGCTGCAAGAGTTGGTAAGCAAGCAAGCAAGCAAACTAGCAAACGTTATATCGCCATATGACCATAACATGACCAGTTTTACCAAATGGTTACTGTTGGCTATGTCCAGATGATCATTTGGTCAGGGAAGGCTGGCCACAGAACCAGGCTGTGAAAGTAGAGCAACTATAGCGAGCTCGATAACGCTATGCGTACTAGTGGCTTTAGGTATTGTATGTAATAGCTCTATCTATATATCCAACACTGTGTTTGTAACTAATCTTCTCTGTATATATTTTTACCTGAATAAACATTTGATTTGATTTTGATTTGTAATCAAACACGGGTAAACAGGTAATAGACACGTTTAATACGCACTTTCCCCCGCCAGGTGTCACTTTGGTCGTGCCCACTAGGCTTACCATCAAGCTACCTGCAGTTCACGTGTATATAATATACAACTATGTGTGCTTATGACTGCTACAAACAAGACTCTAATTACACACATGAATTTTTTAGGCATTTTTCAAGTAAAAATGTAATACATGTAATTACATATACACCAAGGTTAGGCACGTTTAATTGATTTGCCAAGTTTAGGTTTCCCATTGTTCATAGTTTGGCTTGGGTAAGGTGGTGTGGTCGATTATGGCACGTCTGGGATCCTCTTGGACGTAGGTTCGAACCCTAATCACGGCCCTAGTGGAATTGTTCATGTGGTGTGGTTAAGTCTAGCCTAGGCGGCGGCTTGTCCAGCATCAGCTGGAAAAGAATGAAGCACCGCTGTAGCCATATCTTTGAATATACAGTAGTTAGGTTCAGAAATTTACAAATATGACTTACTAAAGTAGTTTGTCAATATTGTAGGTTACAGTATCTACATTGTAAATTAAATATATTGTAAATATTGCACCTGCTGAATCAAATTGGACTGCATGTAGAGTATTTGAAGTATCCCAGATCAAACTCTAAAGGCGAAGCTTACTCTGACACGATAATCATTGCCCAGTAATTACTTAATAAATGTCAAGTTTCCAGTTAGGGTTATCTCTAGTGACCATGGGCCAGATTCACGAAGCAGTTACGCAAGTACTTACGAACGTGTACATGTTTTCACAATCTTTGGCGGCTTTGTTTACAATTATTAGACAGTTAATGAGCTCTGAATCACCAGGAGGCTGTTTATAACAATAACAACAGTTGATTGGCAAGTTTTCATGCTTGTAAACTGTTTAATAAATATAAACAAAGCCGCCAAAGATTGAGAAAAGATGTACACGATCGTAAGTTCTTGCGTAACTGATTCGTGAATCTGGCTGCATGGCACCACGCCCATTATATATATACCTGAGGACCCACAACCTAGTAATTTTGACGAAGTCTGTACATCCTCAGTCATATATTTCTAGCTTAGCCAGTGTGGTCCATGGTGGATGAATGCCTGAAAAAATATAAAAAATATGATTCACAATGAAATGGCAAAAGCATCATATATTTTCTAACCATGATAATATAATGAAGTACTGTATTCTTTAAAGGAGATCATTCAACTGTGAGTCTAATCAATCTGTTGTGAAAAACTAAATAATTAAACAAATAAAAGATCTTTTGGCAAATGGGGGGTTGCAAACAAGATTAATACAAGGGAAGAGTATCTTTTGAACGGACTGAGAGGTCCGTTGACAGTTATTGCTTAATTGTTAATTGTCAAGACAATTAACAATGGAACAATAATTGTCAAGGTTGTGGGCTCCGGGCCGGGCTAGGGAAGTTAGAACTCCTAGAACCCTATCCAGGTACAATTAACCTAGTTGTGGGGTATTAACACATGTGATCACATCCCGAGGATAAGTGTGGATATCAGACCAGACAGCAAACCAACTAGTGTGAGACAGATAGCAAAGTATGTTGACCAGACCACACACTAGAAGGTGAAAGGACAACGACGTTTCGGTCCGTCCTGGACCATTCTCAAGACGATGAGACAATTAGCAATCGACTTGAGAATGGTCCAGGACGGACCGAAACGTCGTCGTCCCTTCACCTTCTAGTGGTTGGTCTGGTCAACATACTTTACCCAAGTTATTGTGACTCATCGCATGCAGATAGCAAAGTATATCGGAAACATTTCCTACATTTACAGAGGTCACTGTTTCACAGTACCATAGCTCACATCCATACCGACACATAGACTATTATTATTATTAACATCTTTATTGACAACATTTAATTACAATTTTGCCTAGTCTGAGGATTTCAATTAGCTGTGCTTTCGAACAGGAATCAAATGACAATATTTACTTACTACAACACAAGCCTTAACTCTCAAATATTTAAGAGCATGAAATAGTAGGAAAGTGTATCCTTTGAGGATATACTGACTCAGACTCTCCTATTGATCTCCACAATCTTTCATTTTGCTTTCTTAGTAACTGACCGACCCTGACTGTTGCCTTTTGCCTCGCAATGGCCTGCGCACTTCAACTCTTCCACTCGGGTCTTCTTTTCTTAACTTCTCAGAACTTATTTACCCAAAGTATGATTCTTGGCACACTTCTTGCCCATTAAATTTGCATTTAATATAAGTCCACAATTTTATAAGGCATTAGTTTTTACTTATTTGTTGCCCATTCTACGCTGTCGTGTGCAGCTACATAAATAAAATATTCAGTGCAATTTGGCAGTTAGTTCTGTTATAACTGTTATAATATTTATATTAAAGCTAAAAGAAATCACCTTAGAACCCACGATCTTGGACTGCTTGGGTGCTTATATTTCTAGTCCAGCAGCCAAGTTGTATTATACTCATAACTTTGTAAGAACTTTTAAGAGCAAAATAGGTGAAATAGGTCTCGCAATATCCTCACCTGTTTTCCTCATCTTTGTGTTGATGTTGTCCTTGTGCTCCTCGTGTGCAAATTTATTTAAGAATCACATAAAACTCTCAGTATTACTGTTCTTCATAATTTTTTAAAATTATTTCATTATATTTTTCTGAAATAGATTAAGTAGCAAAACTATTCCCATACGTACATTTATCTCCTTCCATGAGAAGAACTCGGCAGCAAACACTTAGTTAATAAAGTATTAGCAGCCCTCACACTGAAGTTTTAGCAAGCTCAGAGCAGATACAGAACAAATATCTATATTAATAAGTTTAATTAGTAATGGTAATGTCTTCTCACAGACATAATAACATAGGACAAAAACCCACACTTGTGAAATTTGTGTAAGGAATTTACACAAAGTCTTTCACACTCTCCTATGTGCTTTATCAAGGTCTAAGTGTGTGATTAGGACAAGACTTACATCTCAAGTCTAATCATTAATCACACACTCAGACCTGATAAAGCACTCAGGAGAGTGCAAAAGACTTGGTGTAAATTCCTAACATAAATTTCTCAAATACACAAGCGTGGATTTTTATCTAAAGTTTAGTAATTAATTTTGGGTTATTCTCCTATGTGATTATGAAAAAACATTGTTCATATATATAAATGTATTTGGGATAGGAATGAATTCATTTGGAATTCTTTAAACTATTAATCATAAAAATTATTTGTTTCATGTAGTGTTGTATGCAAATGTATACGGTATTTAGCTTTACATAGTATCCATATTGTATTATTTACTTTAAAATAACTTTGTTTCAACTCTGGAACTTCAAACCCATGATGTCATTGATATCTCAAGTGTGTAAATTTAATGTGATATTGCAAATTTAATTAAAACAACTTATCTGTTTGCAGCTGACCTTATCTTTTGCATCACATGGGCGATCTTTTCACCTGCGTTTGAAGCGGGATACACAGACGATCAGCCCATTTGTGAAAGTAGAAGTCCCAGCTGATTTAGAGGGACTAGATGTTAATCACCTCTATGAAGGGACCCTTCAAAGTGAGTCAGTTGTGCTATGCGCATTAAAATCTGTTTTCTTATTTTATAATGCTATACAGGTTCATACTAATTGCAACTACTGTACTTGTTCAATTTGCTTCAAAGGTGACAGTACCGTACAATACTGTAACAGTAATATTTTTGATAAAACCACTAAAGACTGAAAAAAGATTTACACATTGTAGCATCATAGTATAATACATGTACAAATAATTTTGTGTTTGCAGATGACCCAGGATCTCACGTCTGGGGAAGCATACGGGAAGGGGTATTTGAGGGTGTGATAGCCAGTGAGCGTGACGGCACTTTCTATGTTGAACGTGCTCATAAATACTTCCCACGCCATAATTCCACACATGCGGGCTTCCACTCTGTTATATATCATGACGATCATGTGGATGACCCCTACACGAGGGTTCGGGAAGGGCACACTTCGGGTTGTGGTGCGACGGATGATGTAGCTGCCTGGATGGACAGTGTTCAAAATTCTGCAGATTTAGAAGAAGAAAAAGAGGAAGCGGCCAAGCGATACTTACAAACGCCAGCCCACCTCCGTAGTCAGTACAAATACAAAAAATGGTTGGACACACAAGATAAATATAGAACAGTTCAAGAAGAGAGTGGGTTTCATGGCATGTACGACAGTATTCTAGATGATTATCATAATAAGTACAGTGAGGAAGTCAACACACGGCATAAGAGAGCGGTTGGGATTGGTGTTGGAGAAGATAACAAAGGAACTTGTTCTCTCTCCATTCAGACTGACCCTATGCTCTGGCATCACATATTTAAACAGGTATAGTGTAACCTTTTTTATAAGCTTTATTTTTCTATGGTATCTAATTAGTCTCCTTTGTGCTGTTTTTGTATATTGTTCTCTTAAATGTCTTTGTGTTATGCATTTATTGCTGGCTAGTTTAGGATGTTGTCTTCTTTGGCTCCTAATAAATATGTCCTCAGATTTGTGTAGAAATATAATCACCATAGAGTACTACATTATAAGTTTAGTAAAACATTTCTAAAAGACGTGCATTTAGGTTCTTTAAATATTTACTAATAAAAGCACAAAAATAATATAATTATAAAATTTGATCACCTGGCAAATACTATTTAGTATTAGGAGTTGATTTTGATACGTGGGAGGGACTCTTTCAGTGACTTGCCGAGTTGAACTCTGGTGCCACCAAACATTAGCCCAGTACTTCACAGTTTTGAGACCCCCCCCACCCCATCCATTCCCTGCCAGGAGCCAGAACCAGAATCTGGCTAACTATGAGGCAGGAAATCAGAGATCAATGACAAAGCTGAGGAAAACCACACGAGAAAGCTTAAGTGCGACAGCTTAAAGGAAATTAGGCAACTCCTAAGTAGACAAGGCAAACAATTGTTGAGGCATGGTAAATAGCGTGACTGGGATGCAACGGACCAACACCAGTGGGCAGCCCAGGTTACCTGAGGTCTGCAAAACTGCCCTCTCACTCTAGAGCCTTCCAAGGAGACCCCCGCCCCAATAACCCTACTGGGCAGAAGGGAAAGGAAGGAAATAGGTGCCACGGGTGGCCCTCCAGAAGAGGATAGTTGTAATTATACGAAGGTCTGGTTTAAAGATGTCGCACACTGTTATGAAGACAAATAGTTCTTTGTTTTTCTTTTTTCCAGAAGCAAAACTTTGTAAGAAATAATGTTTTGATCTGTAGTACAGTATAGTACAGTATTTATTTTTTTTTAAGAGTACAGTAATGTTATGTAATGTCAGTAGTTTTTGCTATAATCCTGTTCAGTATTTTATTTACTACTTTACGAGTAACAGAGGTATAGGATACCGAGATATACTTTACTGTATGTAGAATGTTGTACAGTTCTTTCTAAATTAAATGTTAAAATATTTTTCACTTTTATTATTGCTATCAAATTTCAACAGGTGCATAAAACTGGTGCAGCTTACACATTTGAGCAACAGACAATACTTCTTAGCAGTTACTGTACACAAATTAATACTGTACAAGGTGTTCAGAAATGTTGGAAATTAAAATTTGACGGCACATTTTTTATTTATAAATCCGTGTAGTTTGATAGACATTGGAGAGGTTGAAGATGTTTGCTTTCACCAGCATATGTATATACTGTATTGTATGTACTGTACCAGTACAGTACAGTACTGGGTATACTGTATTATAATTTGCATTTTTCACATTCTAATTTGTACTAATATTTTTGTGCTTTGAATCAATATCACCAGGAGGGAAATGACAAGGAGAAGACACGGGATGAAATCACAGCTATGATCTCTCAACACATAAAGGCGATTAACCATATATATGCTAATGTCAAGTTCAATGGCAAGTACAAACACAGGAACATCAGATTTGAAGTCCAGAGAATCAAGGTAAGTACTGCACGATGTTGGCTAACATGTTTAAATAAGATTTTACATGTTGTATATTCATTGATGTATACACATCATTGTACAGTATATTGGTATTGTATAGTTAAGATAATTATGTAAGAATATGCTTGAAAAAAACAAATGCAATTATTTATAAGTAATAGTAATTTCATATTGTATTTATTTTTCTGCCCTAAACCTGCTACCATAGATTCTAATTTACATACCTTATGCCTCTAGGTTTTAACTTGTTCTTAACCTTGAGTCAGTGTTGCTGCACCTAACACGTTAAGTGAATACCCATTGACTTCAGACATATAGAAAAGATGAATGTTGAGATATGCTTGAGGATTACTCGAGTGATAAGATCTTACGCTTCAAGATCGTACATTCACGATCTTGAAGCATCATGTTAGCAGTATGTCATTTTCATAATTTGAGTTTTAATATCATAATGTGATGTGCACGTTTTGTTTCAGATTGACGATGATAAGCCATGTCGTACTAACTGGCAGGGTGAGACCAACAAATTTTGTAAAGCCAATGTAGATGTGAGTAATTTCCTGAACTTGCATTCCCAAAAGAAGCACGATGACTTCTGTCTGGCGTACGTGTTCACCTTCAGAGACTTCACTGGGGGTACACTGGGGTTGGCCTGGGTAGCATCACCTTCAGGTAATTTGTCATCGAGTTATGCTCTTTGTAAATTTACTAAAATAATAAATTTTGCTTCATGTTTGGTTTATTAAATAACTGCACAGCGGATTACAAACTCACCTGTTGTTAATTATGTGCTTTTTAACTTGCAGGTGCCTCTGGGGGCATATGTGAAAAGTACAAAACATACACAGAAAACTTGGGAGGGTTCCGTCACTCTGAAAAGCGGTCCTTAAATACTGGTATCATAACATTCCTCAACTATAATTCCAGAGTGCCACCCAAAGTCTCCCAGCTCACTTTAGCTCATGAAATTGGCCATAATTTTGGATCACCCCATGACTTCCCTGAAACCTGCAAACCAGGAGGACTGCAGGGAAACTTTATCATGTTCTCGTCAGCCACAAGTGGTGATCGCCTCAATAATGACAAGTTTTCTCCGTGTTCGGTTCGCAACATTTCCCTGGTGCTCGATGCTATTTCTGAAAAGAGAAGAACAAATTGCTTCACAGAAAATAATGGTGCCTTCTGTGGTAACAAGATTGTTGAAGAAGGAGAGGAGTGTGATTGTGGTTTCGATATGGATGAGTGTCAAGAAAAATGCTGCTATCCACTCAAAATATCTGCAGCTGACAAGTTGCAGAACCCTTCAGCCAAAGAGTGCACCCGTAAAAATAACACACTATGCAGGTAATTATCTTAATTTTTATTATAGTTAAAACTGTATTGCATATTCTATACTGAATTAAGTATACATATTTTAGCCCTTGTATACCCCTCAATACTTCCCTCCATCACTGGCCTTAAACATCAGTCGTGGTCAATGTGGCCACGACTTACACAGATGATGTGTAATGTCCGCTCCTCTGTAACGCTTGAACGTGTGCATTTACTGAATGCATCTTGTGAAGATTTAAAATTTATTATAAATAGACTCTAGTAAGAAATGAATAGAAATACTGTAGAGAAATTTACAGAAATGGTGGTGTACTGTACAGTTTAATATTCTATATACAGTACAACCTCAGTTTGATGAACTGTATTGGACCATCCCCAGGTCGTTGCAGTGAGGGGTTCATTGCAACCGGAGGTGCCTCCAGAATGCATTTCCTATGCCTTATAGGCTAATTTCATTTAGCAAAATTTTAATTTCAGCCTATACAGTAATATAATAACTACCAAATGAACACATCTGCAATCAAATTTAACATCATCTAGCTCATTTCTCATGTCCCCAGCCTCAAAACTCATTTTCAAAAGGTAGCAGTGCCATCTGAGTGAAAGAAAACTTTGCCAACTGAAAATGAAAACAAATCATAGAATTTAGTTTTAAATACCTGTATCCTCAATTGCTTTCTCAATGCCCCAACTATTTCTTGTAATGTTGCCTTCATCTATGAACTTGATCCCAATATCCTAAGCAAATCCACAAATTCCCCGCTTCAGGAAACACTTATTCATTGAATTGGGTGAGTAAATCGTACATAGGAAGTGTTCCAACATGAGATTTACCTAATCGAGTTTCCATTGTAATTTTAGTCAAAACGTAAATTATCTAGTTGGTGAGAGTTGCCTACTGAAAACAGAAATTTTTGTATATAATTTTTTGTTATCATAGTTTTCAACACTAATGCACAATGATTTTTGAAAGGTTTGAAATTTCCATCCCTTGAAAGTTGATTAAGCTTCTTATCTGGCTATCAGATGGTTATAGAGAAAATCAGGAATATTTAATAATAAAGAAGAGCTGGTTAAGTGTTCAGCTCTTTGAGTTGAGATTGTTTCTGCTGTTTAGCATATTATAGGATCAGATATCACATTGTAAGACTTTGTTAATTGTTAATTTGTTAATTGCATTAATAAGCTCCATAGGCCTGTTGGTCCTCAGAATGGAAACAAAGTGCTATAAAAGCATGCAATAGATAAGACATAAGAAGTGAGTGTGATACTTATTGACATTTCATGCAGTGTTATGTTTATTACTGGAAATCAACTGCCTAACATAACCTAACCCAGCCAGACTTGACCTAACTTTACCTAACTGAACTAAATATATCCTGACTTAGTCTGGACTCACTTAATGGTGTACGTTAGACCTGTTTTTTTTTTAAATTGGCAGTTTGCGACCATCAGTCAGTTCTCATATAGTGTACTCTGTACTCCATTCACTTGTATGGCTAAGGCAAAAGATCTTGTTCGAAGAATAAATCTTGTTCTTTCCATGAATATCCTGAGCAAAGTTGTTGTGCAGCGCACATATCTGGAACGTGTGATCTACAATGTGAGCCAACTATAATTGCAATTGCATCAGTCAAATTTTATTTGTCAGCCCTAGTGAAGGACCATGTTGTGACCGTGAAAGATGTACGTTTGTGCGGGATACCCAGTGCCATTCTGAAACAGACTGTGAGGAATCTGCTTATTGTGAAGGTGATAAAGCAACTTGTCCCCAACCTGTTCCAAAGGAAGAATATAAGGAATGTAATGAAGGCACAAAGGTAAGGTTTCAAACATTCTTCCCTAAGCCTAAATCATTTTCTTCAGCGAGCTTCTTTCAGTGATTTAGTACACACACTGATTCATGTTAGTTTATTGCTTGATTTAGGATTTTCTGTCATATACACTCATACCATTGCCCTTTCTCTTTTATGTTATTTATTCTGGACGACTCACACAAAGTTCTGTGTGGTTCTTGATGTGTACAGTACTGGCTATATTTTTAGATGGGAAGGCATCTGTTCAAAACACACAAAGTATAATTTGCTAATAATTTTACTAATTTTGATAGGAGTACATGTAAAATTTTAATTTGAGTAAATTTTGTTTAGATTTCAAATTATGTGATTTAGAGTGAGAATGGCAACATTAATAGTTACTAAAGTCAAACTAGTGAGAGTAAAACAATTAAAAACTGATTATTTGCAAATCATATATTTTATTTCATCCTATAGGTGTGCACCAAGGGCAAATGCAGCGGGTCAATATGCCTTGCTAAGGGAATGAAAGAATGTTTTCTTACATCTGACCGTGTGCATGATAAGAAAAAGCTATGCGAGATAGCCTGCCAGATTGGTAATGATAGCGCTTCTTGCAAGTCCACATCAGAGCTGAAGGAGGTGTTTGGTGGTGGACCTGTGTTTATGAGACCTGGAGCACCCTGCAATAACTTTCAGGTGAGTTCTAATGTTGCTTTATTAGAGTTGTTGCAAGTTATATATAACCTAAATGCAGCATCATCAACAAGGAATTATTCCTGGGGTACAGATTTAATCCCATCATGTGACCTTTCGTCGTGGTCCAGTCAATATTGCGTATGTCTGGGGTGTCCAGGGGCGTGAATTCAGTTCCATCGTATCGCCTCCATATTTTCTCATAGATGGGTCATGTTCTCGTGATTTCAAAGCTATTTCTTTGCACTGAGATCTTAAGGAATTTTATGTGAATATGTTGATTTTATTAATATTTGGGGAAATGGCATCCTATATTCACTCGGTATGAAACTTGACACCTTTAATGATTAGATTGAGGGGGTGAAAACACTGTATAGTTATGCTCTTTTTGTGGATGGGTTATATAAAGATTTTGTCATTTATAATGTTGAATAGCTTATTTTTTAGTAACTTTAATATATTTTTTTAGGGTTACTGTGATGTCTTCCAAAAATGCCGAGCAGTGGACGCAGAAGGACCACTAGCCCGCCTCAAGAACCTGCTCTTCAACCAGGACACCCTCAACAGTGTTGCAGAATGGATTACAGTAAGTCTCTGTGCAATTCATTTTTCTTTTTTTTTGTAGGGGGAGCTTGTTTCAAATGCAAGATTGTTGTGGAAAATGTTGTTATTGGCCACATGATAATGCAGGCTTGAGCTTGATGTTAGGCAGTCACTGGTACTGCTTGCTGAGTCTATTGAGAGGAAGAGAGGAGTGAAGATCACAGTGGGAGAGGATTGAAGATCACAGTGGGAGAGGATTGAAGATCACAGTGGGAGAGGATTGAAGATCACAGTGGGAGAGGAGTGAAGATCACAGTGGGAGAGGAGTGAAGATCACAGTGGGAGAGGATTGAAGATCACAGTGGGAGAGGAGTGAAGATAACAGTGGGAGAGGAGTGAAGATCACAGTGGGAGAGGATTGAAGATCACAGTGGGAGAGGATTGAAGATCACAGTGGGAGAGGATTGAAGATCACAGTGGGAGAGGATTGAAGATCACAGTGGGAGAGGATTGAAGATCACAGTGGGAGAGGATTGAAGATCACAGTGGGAGAGGATTGAAGATCACAGTGGGAGAGGATTGAAGATCACAGTGGGAGAGGATTGAAGATCACAGTGGGAGAGGATTGAAGATCACAGTGGGAGAGGAGTGAAGATCACAGTGGGAGAGGAGTGAAGATCACAGTGGGAGAGGATTGAAGATCACAGTGGGAGAGGAGTGAAGATAACAGTGGGAGAGGAGTGAAGATCACAGTGGGAGAGGATTGAAGATCACAGTGGGAGAGGATTGAAGATCACAGTGGGAGAGGATTGAAGATCACAGTGGGAGAGGATTGAAGATCACAGTGGGAGAGGATTGAAGATCACAGTGGGAGAGGATTGAAGATCACAGTGGGAGAGGATTGAAGATCACAGTGGGAGAGGATTGAAGATCACAGTGGGAGAGGATTGAAGATCACAGTGGGAGAGGATTGAAGATCACAGTGGGAGAGGATTGAAGATCACAGTGGGAGAGGATTGAAGATCACAGTGGGAGAGGATTGAAGATCACAGTGGGAGAGGATTGAAGATCACAGTGGGAGAGGATTGAAGATCACAGTGGGAGAGGATTGAAGAGCACAGTGGGAGAGGATTGAATGTCACAGTGGGAGAGGATTGAAGATCACAGTGGGAGAATACAGAGACAGAGAATACAGTTTTTATTTGAGAAGTGTAATTACCTAAGTGTGTAAGAATTAAGGAGTGTGCTATGCAGACGTTTGTTCCTCTCACCAAAGAAGGTTATAGGAAATTAATGCAGTATAACAAAGTTGGATTCGGTAAAAGTTAAGTAAAAGTTCAAAGTTGTTTTAAACATATTTTGTCAAGTACTGTACCTGGCAGTAAGCCTGTTCACTTTGGAACTGTAAGATTTTCCTCTATATTTACGGAAGTAATTAGGTGGTAGCTCTTTAACTAGTCGGAAGCCTTTGTGTTATATGTTCTGATATGTTAATACTGTAGTATCCAACATTAAGACCTTCTCATGTTTTTCATTCCCCAAACAACACCTGATTGCAATCAGTGTTTTCAAAACTTTTTTATACATAATCATTCTTTTTCAGCAATATTGGTATGCTGTACTGCTGCTTGGAGTTGGCTTTGTAGTGTTCATGGGAATTTTCATCAAATGCTGTGCAGTCCACACACCATCGAGCAATCCTCGCAAACCTCCTGCTCGCTCTATCACAGAAACCCTCAGAAGACCTGTGAACACACTTAGGAGAGTCAAAGTGAGTTGTTAATGTTATTTATTTTTGCTTTGTTCTTGATAATTTCATATTCATTTACTATTGTTAGAAATATTTCTTCTTATAGTGAAAAGAACAGGCACTGACATGTGTGAGGCCAAACAACGAATGGCTTGCATTGTTTAATGAACTGTATTTAACTATTTACCAATAGCGTCATCGACAAGGACCCAGTCCAAATGTTCCACCAGCAGCAGCGGCAGCAGCAGCAAGTCAGCATCATCACCACCACCATCACAACCAGGCAGGACCTTCGCACCACAGTAGAGGCGGTGAAAGAGAAGTGGAACGTCCAAAACCTCCAGGAGGTAAACGGACGAGTCGAGCATACAGTGATGATCCCCCCCCTCCGTATCCAGGAAACCCTAGACATTCTGTCAGTCCTGCGAACCCACCAAATTCTGCAACTCCAGCCAATCGTGCTGGCCCCACTCGGCATGGCTATGGGGAAGGCCGAGGACATTATAATAGACCCAAAGGTAAGTGTAAAAATATATACATGAGCTTGAATTCAGTTCGTTAGAAATGAGTACTGTATCTTTATACTCTATATATATTTTTATCAAAATTATTTCAACCACCCAAAACCATTAAGCATTTCAGTAGGTTAAATGCATTCAACCCAATTTAATCAAAGCACAATACAGGATATTGGTTTTGATTATGTGTTCACGTTAATGATGTTTTGCAGATAAATTGGTTTTGTATGGTTATTCAGTTATTTTTGGGGTTTTGCTTTTGTCTGAGAACATTGTTTTTGTGTGTGTTACTTGTGGTAGTGCATGGTACTGTACTATTATTTGTATCTTACAGTTTTTAATTAAATTATACACAGTCTAACTTTGCTTGAGTGGATTACAGTACTGTACTTAGAAAAAGACCTCTTCTGGCTCACTGAGAATTCTGGTTATAAGAGGATTTTTACCATTTTTCTCTTGCCAATTTTTATTATTATAGCAACAAATGACTAAATATATTGTAACAGATATGGACAAAAAATATACAAACAATGTATTTTAATTACATATACTTCAGGCAAGCTGGAGGAAGAGAAGATACACATTTATGAAAATAAGTGCAATTTATTACTTGGACGTGACTAGGTTAGTCATTGTTCAGCTCTGTTAGCAGAATGCAGATGTAGAGTAGAGTAACATTACCAGACCACACACTAGAAGGTGATGGGACGACGACGTTTCGGTCCGTCCTGGACCATTCTCAAGTCGATTGTGAATCGACTTGAGAATGGTCCAGGACGGACCGAAACGTCGTCGTCCCTTCACCTTCTAGTGTGTGGTCTGGTCATCATACTTTAGCCATGTTATTGTGACTCATCGCCTGCGTAGAGTACAGTAACATTGTAGTAGAGAAAAAAAAACAGAAGCCCAGTACTCTGCTACTGCATAAACCACTTAAAAATAGCAACATCTAAAGTCTCGCGCTCTGTTTTCTTGAGCATTTTTCAATCTAAACCATTGCCACTAGTCTTCCACACTTGACATTGATTTTCTTACCAGAAACTTTACCAATACCATTCTCCATTGCCTGTTGTCTCACTGTCCAAGTTTACTCATTCTTCTCAGTCAGTCTAGCCTATTCTTTCATGTTAAGATACTGTAACTCCTCTTGTCCTACTTGATTTAGCTTAGCTTCTGCTGGCAGACATCTTTTCGACTCGCAAATTATTAAAAATCTGCCCAAAATTAGATCACACCATGCAGTCATAGATGAAAAGACACATTACAGAGACACGTCAGTTATGACACATCTACAACCACAACAGAAAAATGTTTGTCCATTTGCAAATTAGTTTGAGAACCCTCCAAGGTTTATGACTTGCCGTGATCCACTTGAGCAAAATTAGAGTGTATATTGTATCTTCAGTATAGAGGAGTAATGATGAAATTAATATATTCACAGAAACACCAAGTTGAGAGTAAACTTTATTAATGCTCTTTTGTCTTAGGGGCTCTTTAAGTTCTAAGGGAGATGCACAGGGCTACTGCTTATAAATGATGGTGAGGTGAAGATTATTTGATTGAAGACACATTTTCATAATTTTCACCTTATTTTCTTCTATATTATGGAGCCCTATGTGTCTGTTAGATATGATAATAAAATTCAGGTAAAACATAATTTTTGATATAGCCTACTCTCCACTTTTGTCATTTCTCCCCTGCATTGTCAGCCATCTGGGATTTATACAACTGATATAGCCAGCAGTTGATAAATTCTGTAGGTTATTTCTCTACTTGAAGTGCTAAGATTCTTCAGTAAAATCAAGTTTTTGCATAATTATAAAATGTTTCTTGGAAAATATTTTTCCGAATCATTGGATTGCTTGAGAGTTTCGTCTTTGTGATCTTTGTGGTGCATGCTTGTACAACCTGCTTCAGCTTCCTTGTCTCTATGATTGTAATCACATGGCACTGTGATTTGATAGCCTTTAACCAATGTTAAAATTTTGTCATGCATGAGGAAGGCTTAAGTTTGAAGTGTTATAAATCAGCCAGTCTGTCAAAAACATCTTTGAAGTAAGTCAACAGTGTTTCCTACTAATGCAGTCTCAAAATTGTTTTGTCAAAATCTAAATTTTGTCAAAATAATGTCTACACATTTAGTCATAAACCTTTGCATTTCAAGATGGGAAGGGGGAAAGGGAAGCATAATCATTGTAAGTAGCTTACACAAATATTTTTGCAAATACCCTTTAAATAGTTGTCTGAAAATGCCTTGGTAACAAAAATGTAAATACAGTATCACTATTTAATGTATTTAGTTGTAAAACATAAAAGTAGATTTGTTTTTATTACATAGTCACTGAGGGAGAGTATATGTAGCTTCATTCCCCACCACAAAGCCCACCTTTAGTACGTAATGGTTCCTTTCATTTCCTGTAAATAGCATCTGTTTTGATAATGGGAGTGAGGAATGGTAACTTTACCTTTTTGGATCTTCACAGTACAGTAAATGTTTGGGTATTAACCAGTAGCAGTCACTAGTATGGAAATAATATATTCTAATAGAACTATAGCAAGGTTTAAGATGTAAGGAATAAGGAATGCTTCATTTAAATGTTGCTAAATTCCTATCTACCTGTTGGTTCTGGGGATGAATGTCCATGTGGCCCGGTCTCTGACTAGGTCTCCTGGGGCCAGATTCACGAAGCAGTTACGCAAGTACTTACGAACCTGCACATCTTTTCTCAATCTTTGGCGGCTTTGTTTACAATTATTAAAGAGTTAATGAACTCTGAAGCACCAGGAGGCTATTTATACCAATAACAACAATTGATTGGGAAGTTTTCGTGCTTGTAAGCTGTTTAATAAATGTAACCAAAGCCGTCAAAGATTGAGGAAAGATGTACACGTTCGTAAGTACTTGCGTAACTGCTTCGTGAATCTGGCCCATGGCTAGTGGTCTGGCCAGCCTATAATCTGGTCTGGCCAGCCTATAATCAAATTTAAGTACAAATATTATGGAGGTCAAGGTTAAAGCTTCCATCTGGTATTTGTATCTAAATTAAGAAGGTGGCAAGTCCTTGGACTCGTACAATTTTGATGCATTTACACCAATGCTCTATTTACATTTTTTTCTAAAGCATGCTAGCATTAGAAGTTATTGGACATTTTTTTACTCAGAGCTAAAAAAAAAATGTCTCGGTATAGTTTCCATTAAGATAAAGACATTGCAGTTGTTTTGATATGTTTGTTTTATGCAGCTACACTTTATTATTTGGACTTCATCAGTAAGGTGCTTACTGACAGTAAGTACAGCAAGATACTGTCAGTAAAACTTACTGACAGAAAGTACAGCAAGATACTTACTGACAGTAAGTACAGCAAGTTACTTACTGACAGTAAGTACAGCAAGATACTTACTGACAGTAAGTACAGCAAGATACTTACTGACAGTAAGTACAGCAAGTTACTTACTGACAGTAAGTACAGCAAGATACTTACTGACAGTAAGTACAGCAAGATACTTACTGACAGTAAGTACAGCAAGATACTTACTGACAGTAAGTACAGCAAGATACTTACTGACAGTAAGTACAGCAAGATACTTACTGACAGGAAGTACAGCAAGATACTTACTGACAGTAAGTACAGCAAGATACTTACTGACAGTAAGTACAGCAAGATACTTACTGACAGTAAGTACAGCAAGATACTTACTGACAGTAAGTACAGCAAGATACTTACTGACAGGAAGTACAATAAGGTACTTAAAGTAAGGTCAAGCTCGATCAGTAAAGTTAAGCACCCTGATGCTCAGATGAAACTCTTGCAATGTACCTTACTTGCATTAATCCCTGTTTATGCACTCCAGAAGACCATCTCCTTTTTATCTGCATGATGTTATCTTATTTGTATTAATTCACTTATATGATTTTCATTTTTTTACTATTATAATATTTCAATAATTTTATATTGATATTTCTTGTATTCACAGCTGAGTATTGTATAAATTTGTTCTCAGCACCGAACAGCTGAGTATTGTACCAATTTGTTCTCAGCACCGAACTTTAGTTCTCGGCTAAACAGGATTCAGCAAATAAGATCATTTACACACACACCCACACTTATAATTTAATTCTTATAGTACAAGTGGATAAAGATAAATCACGATTGTTGGTATTGGGGGACTTCAACTTTAAAACAATAGACTGGGAGGCCTATGAAGCAAGTACAGAGGACATTTTGACAGGTAGATTTGTAAACCTCATTTTGGAGACATTCATGTGTCAACACGTCAAGCAGGCCACAAGAATGAGGGAAGAGAATGTTCTGTCAGTACCGGATCTAATATTCACCAGGAAGGAAGAAGAGATGTTTGACATCCAGTGCCTTCATCTCTTGGGCAAGAGTGATCATGTCCTGTTGGACATTAAATATGCTTCGAGATATAATCTAGAAGACAGTGGGGACAATGAAACAGTTGTTAAACTCGATTTCAGGAGAGGACATTATGGGGAACTTGGAAAATGTTTTAACGAGTGTAACTGGACAGAGTTGTTGCTAGGAAAGGAAGTAAATGAGATATATGCCAAATTTTGAGAAATATACGATGACGCCACACAAACATTCGTACCAAAACAGAGATGCAGGACCAGAAAACAGGGTTGGTTCAACAGAAATTGCACGAGGGCCAGAAACGAAAAGACACAAAAATGGAATCAATATAGGATGAGGCCAAACCCCCAAACATTCCAGCGATATAAAGATGCGAGAAACAACTACACGACAATGAGGAGAGAGGCAGAAAAAAACTTTGAAAAAGGGATAGGGGACAAATGTAAAATGGAACCAGGCCTATTCTTTAAATTCAGAAACAACAAATTGCAGGTAAAGGATAATATTCAGAGATTGAAAATGGGAAACAGATTCACTGAAAATGAAAATGAAATGTGTGAAACATTAAACAAAAGTTCCAAAGTGTGTTTGTACAATATGAAATCTTCAGGGAACCAGACAAA